TTTCAGTATTAATAATGAGGCAAATCAGGAGCCAGTGAGGAGCAGAGGATACATAGAATCTGTCAGCAAGTCGTGATCGCACACCACATTCATCACCAAAATGAAAAAAATGTGGTTTTCCTGCTCAACAAAAATTAAGGAAAATTAAAATAGCAGTTATAATTAAAAGCCTAGGGAATGCATATAGCCCGCCACATTTCTTATCAAAGTTTTGTACCAGAAATGGTTTCTGTTGAGAAACGAGAAACAAAGTTGTAGACATTTCAGTTGAACTTTGTAAATGATGTTATGTGCTATCTCATGCAATACTGAGAGATCTCGCATTATCTTGAATCGTGCATTCAGGATGACTGTCAGCTACTGTCACACCATATTTAGCTCAATATCTGTATTGGTGCAGCAATGCTTACTTTCTTCAAATGACTGAGCATCCAAAGATGCTCTCCTGCAGAAGACAATAAACCAAACACATCATATGTCTTCTGTGTGTCCTGCACTTCTGGCTCTTACACTTGCAAAAATAAATGTTATACTGTGTGGAATGGCAGCAAAGCATCTGCTGTGCTATTACAGTCAGCAACCACAAGAGAAAGCACTAAACTGAAAATGGCACCAAACTATCTTACAACTGGGACAATAAAACATCTAAAAACTTTGGTTTTGCATTCAAAATTAAAAATAAAAGGCCACAATGACAATGCAAAACTGATATCAACCAACATAATAAAAGATTTATAACTTAAATAGCTACATTTTTGTAGACAAAGAAAAATAAGCCATTTTTTTCACACTACTTAACCTCGCATTGCATGGTGGCAAAGAGAGGGAGAGGAAGCAACAGAACAAAATGTATTACATCATTTCTGCCTTTGACACATTTCAAAATAAAACACAATAATACAGTAAACAAATACTTCGGAGTTCATTTTTAACTCCGTTACACCGGATTAGGCCATTAGCTGTGGTATTCATCTTGAATTGGGTTAACCTCAGACTTTAATGAGTTTTAGATGAGCAGCCAATGAATACTTTCTGGAAGTTTCACTAAAATCTGTCAATTGGCTTTAAGATATTTTGCTAAGTGAGGGTGTTGACTCAAACAGCTAATGCCAAAGTTCTTGCACAATGAGTACTGCTCAAATTACTTGTTGAGGATATTGCTGATCTACTACCACACCAAAGTTGAGCTCATTCTCTGTATAACTGGCAGAGTCATAGTCATTTTGTGTTCGCTAACCTGTGGTGGCCATCTTGAATTGAGTTTGCTCAATAGTTCAATCCTTTTTGACACGGGCTCAATAATTCCTTTCAGAGTTTTATTAACATTTATCCACTAATTCATAAGGATGTTTTGCTAATGTTACAGATAAACACAATATTTCCTCCTGCCTTTCGGTGGCGAGCAATAATGGAAGTTTTAAAAAATGAAGTGTTTGGTCCAGCAGGATGACATTTTACCACATAACACACATGCACACATGAGGTAGTCATCTAATTCAAAAACATATTTAACACATGCAGACAGTAACTCTGCCTGTCAGCTGTAAAACCCACAAACTCACACTGAAACCCACACTGATCGATACTGAATGACGGAGCTCAAACACTACAGCAAACAAATAGCCCGGCTGACCTCCGGCATCACAAAGCAGTATTAGCCTGTGATGCTAATGAGCTATTATAACAATGACCTTCGGGACAAACTCATTACCAGGTGACAGTAGACAGCAGACAGAAGCTGGATTCATTATCATATTTATCAGAGCTGACGCTACTGGTTAAGATGCATTTTACTGTGCATGACTGAAAGCAAAACGTAGAGTGGCAAGAGAGCAAGAGAGCATTACAGCACGGTGAAAAATGATCAGTAAGTTCATAATTAGATAAAGGCAAAGCTGAGCTAACGTGCTTTTTTTTTATTTAGTAGTTGGTTAAATGCATATTAGTTGTACAGAGTTCAAAAAATACATCTGTATAATGAGTATTTGTACAAAAAGACTACTCAGACGGTTTCATTTTTTTCTGATTTACTAAAATGTGCAATAATAAATTTTAAGTTGAAACTTTAAGATACACAAAAGAAAGGAGGGGTGACAAGGGGATTATCAGTAGGGGGAAAAGTGACCATTGACGTGGGAACCAGTAAGAAGAGCAGATGGATGGGAAAGGTGAAAATCAGCAAAAAGCAGGCTGGGAAGGGGATTTAGTAGAAGGCTGAATGGAAGGTATGGACTGTAAACAACGTTTGGAGGAAGGAGTGATGAAAAGAGGAGCGGACAGGTAAAAAAAGAGGAAATGAAGGTGAGAGGTGGGGGCAGTAAAAAGTGAACGGTACTGAAGAGCCATGAAGAGTGAGGAGTGAGGGCTTGGTGGGGAAAAAAAAAAAAGAGAGATGGAGCAAAGGATGAGAAGAAAAGGCCGTGACGGGGAGCCATTAATAATTTATGATAGCCTCAGCTTTTCAAAGCAGCCCAGCGGTCCCGCTCCCTGCTTTCCCCTGACGTTTAATTTGTCTGAAAATCAACGAGTGTGGAGGCCTGATTATCGTCTCCCGTCTGCCAACGCCGCCGCCTCTCCGTCACTGAGGTGAGAGCACAAGATGCTGGGTACACGTGTCAACCTGGATTAATTCACGTCCAAACAACCCTCGTTCAGAAGCTGAGCAAGGCCAAAGCATCTTCCAGTGAACTTCCAACCACAAGCTTTCATTAATTTTTTTATTTTTATGGAGAAGGCTCTCATGAGTTTTCAGTTTTTGCGGGAATTGCTTCGTCTGTTTTTTTGCAATCTGACTCCTTCTGTACACTTTGGACTATTTTTGTAATGATCTGGTGGTGGTTGAACCCAAAATGCGGACAGGACTCAGGGGACTCAGGTTTAAAGTAAAAGTTATTTACCATAATTTTCGCTGTATAAGTCACAGTTTTTTGTATAAATTAGCATGACTGCGCCTTATACAGCGAAGAGACTTTTTTACGTTTTTTCCCATATTCATAACCAAATTTTTGGCTGAGATCTGACAATTTCATCAATTCTGAGTTCTGACATGGAAAATATTGAACACTACCATTTTCAGCCACTAGAGGGCCGTCAACTAAGCGTCTCATTAATAATTAAAAGTGGCTATTAATGAGACACTTGGCTTGCCATACAGAGCCACCTTCATCTCGCTCTGGATCTCCTGGAGCAAACATCAAATCAGCTGCATTTTGCTGCGCCGCCCAGGCGAAATGCAGCTGATTTGACCATTAAAGTGCATTTATTAAGGAAAAGTTAAACTGAGACACACCTTTACTAATAAGAGTTACTGTCTAAAACTCAAAAATCTGCGATCAAGCTTAAAGTAGCTGAAAGCAGAAAACATCATTATCCAAGGCACATTGTACCCGTTTTAGAAAAACCTAAATAATATAATTTTATAGTCTCGTAGACTCATTAAAAGCATTAAAAAGTCCTTGATTTGTAAAGCAACAAGTGGTGGAGTCCATCGGTCTTTAGACCTGTCTGAGACAAACAACCATTCACTCTCTCACCCACACTTAAAGATGATTTGATACAAATTAAACTACCATGCACGTTTTTGGTCTGTGAGAGGAAACAGGAGTACTCTGTAAAAACCCACATGTGCAACATGCAAACTCCCCACAGAAAGGGCGATGTGTGATCCTCCAACACAGAAATGGAAAAAGTAATTCATAATTTATGCATCTATCAGCTGCAGTGGCACTGAGGGCTTGAGTAATTTCCTTTAGAGCTTGATGAAGAGACCTGGGCAAAACGAATGTGACATTTAAGTGGCATGACAAGAAACGCAGGATTTAGGGATTTTAATCAAGTCCTGTGAAGACACTTAAATTATATATTAACTACATAACTAAACTGATTAAAACACCCCTACCAGCTGATTGAATCTCAGCTGTCCATTTCTTTACTGGTTTCCACTTTGTTCTGAAATGGTCCTAAAATAACAGCTTTGCAGGTCCAGTGTGCACATCTGGTTCCACTATATTGTAGACTTTAGGATGTAGTGACATCTAGCTGTAACCCGCTGCATGATCCCAACCTGAGCATCTTCAGCTCAGCATGCAATACAAACTGCAGAAACAAGAAGCGTGTCCATCAGAAACAGAAGGAAAAGGAAAGAACCTGCTCAGTCCACAGATTTTCTACAAAAAAGGCAGTACAGTACTTCCAATTTATTTGCTTAGTACTCGAAGCTAATTAAATCTAGCCTGCATTAGACATTGTATTATTTTTTGGCACACCACTTTAAATGCCACATACTTTTACAATATTTGTAACATGTGTGAGCAGCTGTAGAAGAAGAAGGTTCAACCTTCCTACCCCACATGCAGCGCTGACCTTTGCAAAGACCTCGCAGTTGTTTCATTGCAGTATCTGTGAATTTGACTCGTATTGTAAAATATAATTGCATCCCATTTATCATATTTCTGTCGTGTTACCAGCGCTGAAAAATAAAGCGTGCATTAAGTTTTCCCACGTTATACACACTTATTTGCTTCCTCTTCTTAAATCTGTTCCTCACCTCCAATTAGCTCCTGTTCTCTGTCCCAGTTAGTCTTATTTACATGATTAGGCTCCACTGAGAGCACTATTTTAAGACTCTACTTCCTCTTTGCTGTTCTTTTCTTCACCTTCACGTCAGGCGCTTACATGAAGTCTCGTCAGGAATGACAAAAACACTTCGGTTTGGGGCTTTTTTTAACATCAAATAAGAAAAACAGGACATTTGGGTGGTGTGTTCTCTTAACATTTACAGTGTGTGGACATCGCGTGGGCTAAAAGTGTCTTGTATTATTTTTCAAACAGAAGCGTCACAAATCCACAAGTATTTTCTATATACAAATGTATAAAACATTCTGTTTACACCAAAAAAATAAAGGCTTAAGACGATTTTTATGTTTGCTTCAGTTTAGTTTGCTGAATATGACGACTCCAAGAGAAAATTTCTGAGAACAAAAACGTTTCTAGTTGATCTTTCTGCGACGATGAGTTCTTTGTTGTCATGCAGACGATACAGAAACTTTGTGGAAGCTCCTGGACACCATAATGGAGCTGCTGCTGTGGGACAAAGTGGCCTTGAGCACTTTGGTGCCAGGTGAAGTGGCCATGATGGACACGGTCTTCTTGATATTCTCGCCTGGCTTCAGGAGAAGCAGCCTGAGGGACAGAGAAGAGAGGCTTAATCTTCCAGCTCCAACAAAGATACACTCGGTGCATGTGCAGCGCCTGAAACAGTCCAGCTTTACGAACGGAAACTGAACAGGGGCTTGACGCTGCACGGAGTACAAATTCCTCATAATCTATATTTGTCATTAAGGAGTTAATAAATACTGTACAGTAGTCCCTCGCTACTCCACGGCTCGCAGACTCGCTCTATCGCAGATTTTCAAAGTAACAGAGGATATGACACACAATTGGCTGATTGATGGATGAGCCGCAAGATTGGCATGGATTCCTTTATTTAAAATAAATATTTTTAAATTATATAGCACCTGCTGCACCTGTGTGTAGCCCACATGTGCAGAGAGAAGCTCCCTCCTGCAGCATATCATTTCTCTGCTTTGAAGTGGGCGTGACCGAGAGTGCTGGCAGGTGGCAGAGATCATGACATGCTGTGCTCTTTTAGAGCGTTTAGTTTAGATACATTGTTTAGAATATTGCAAGTGTAGGAAGGGTTTGAAACACCATGCATATACATATATATACACATATATACATATATATACACATATACATACACATACATATATACACATATACATACACATACATATATACACATATACATACACATACATATATACACATATACATACATATACATATATACACATATGCATACATATACATATATATACACATATGCATACATATACATATATATACACATATGCATACATATACATATATATATATATATATACATATACATACACATATATACATATACATACATATATACACATATACATACATATATACACATATACATACATATATACACATATACATACATATACATACATATATATATATATACATATACATACACATACACATATATACATATACATATACATATATATACATATATATACATATACACATATACATATACATATATATACATATACACATATACATATACATATATATATATATAAATATACATATATCTATATATATATATATATATATATATATATGTGTGTGTGTGTGTGTAAATATATACGCACACACACAGTATATACACTAAAATAAACTACTACTTATTAATTGTCCTACTTTCCTACTTGGTGGTTTTTCACTTATGGGTGGACTGAGAACAGAAACCTCTTCAAGGTCTAGATGCATTTTTGACTAATGTCACTTTCTGTTTCTATTCTACGTGCAAAAGAAGATGGTTTTAAAACAAGTCACCTTGTTTTATTTCTACATGGCATCCCTGCCATTTGTTTACAAGCTAAATGTTTGTGTGTACATTTTATTTTAACCATATGAGATCTTTAATTGCAACTTTAAATACACTTACTTGGCCTCCTGTTTGCCCTTGATCAAACCGGATCCCTCCACGCTCAGCACAGCTTCAGACAGAGCTCTTTCAAAGGGGTTGGTGAAAGTCACTCGAGCTGATTTTTCTTTCTTCATTTGAATTCGGTCACCTCCTTCAATCTGCAAAGTACATGAATACAAAGAAGATGGTAAAAAATATACAGCATATTTATTTGGTCGCAGATGCTCCAAACAGTTACTGCATGTCTGTCTGCAGAGACTTGTAAATTGCATTTTAGGAATAGAATGGGGACAAGTTAACCAATTCCAGCAAGACTAGTGATCACTTTAAGAAGGATCAATCAAACTGCTCCAATATATAATGATGTCGCCTTTAATGTGATGCCAAATGTTAAGGAGCTGCTACCAATGGAAGTGTTTTTTGATCTACGGCTTGATAGGGTCTGACTTGGCTTTTTGTTGCAGACAATACCACAGAACTGAAAGTAACTTTGGTACAATACTAGAAAACCTTTTTAAACCAAGCTAAACATACACAACCTCCCACAAACTAATGACTGGTCAAAGAAAACCAACGCCATGTGGGCCTGAACCCTGACTGTGCAGAAACAAACAACAACACTTCTTTAATTCACAGAAAATGCATTTGTGCCGATGGCTTGAATATTTTATGCACGACTAATGTGTTCACTAGTTGATGTTCTTCTTTTCCTGTTTATTATACTCTTTAAAAAGGTAAAAAATGTATTTTCTGCTCAAAAGCAAACCTTTTCTGACCCTATTTTCAGCACCAAAAGCAAAGTTTTGACAGTTGACTTGGAGTTTGATGAAACTTGGTATGAAAAGTTTGATTTAGGTCACCGAACTGTGCTGCGAAATACTCAGAGAGGGGAAAACTATCCAGGATGCTTCTTTGATGGGATTCATGTCTTTGCTTTCATTACACTCTAATAACTTGAGCTTGTCATATTCAGCTGACAACCACTGAGTAGATCAAAGTGGGAACAACACAGAACAAAAGAATGAGAAGATAATTAATTCATGATACTTGGTGATCTGAAAAGTAGAAGATGTTCGACGCTGCTTTACCTGTATCGTTATCTGCGCTGTGCTCACGCTGAACTCGTGTGCACCCAGGACTCTTTCTCTGGTCATCAGGTCCTGCATCACCACTGCCACATTCACCACACTATCAGGTTTCAGGGTGGACTCGTACTCAGAATAAGGAATGGTGTGCCGGAGCGTTAACGCTGAAAAGAACAGAACAGTGTTTACGTGTTGGAAAAACTTTTCTCATGTTGCATTTTTACCAGAAACAGACTGGAGACACATCTACACAAAAAGAACATTCTATGGAAAGTTTTTTTTTATTCTTTTTCTTTTGGCTGCTCCTTTCTTCAGGGGTCGCTACAGTGAAATAAATCGTACAAATACTTGACAACTGTGCCCTCTGCATGGAGCAGAGAACTGCCATTTAGGGTGGTTGGGGGAGCAGATGGTGGGGTTTAAGGGCCTTGCTCAAGGGCACAGAGTGGGGAAAATGAGTGTGGAGGCAGGTGTGGGTATTGCACCTATCCCACACACATTTTGATATTGTTGGTGCAGGAAGTTGAGCCGGCGACCTTCCGATTGCAGGCCCACCTTCTTTAACCTCTGCGCCACCATTCTATGGAAAGGCATATTTAAAAATATATAATTTCAGTCCTGCGTCCACATGGAAATACTTTGTGGTTTCCTAAAATTATATTTTTGGAAAACGGGTTCCATAGTGGGCTCAGTTGGTAGAGCTGTTGCCTCTCAGAGAGAAAGTCGCTGGTTCAAATCCCTGCCAGGGACCCTTCTGGGTGAAGTTTGCATGTTCTCTCCGTGCATGCGTGGGTGAGAGAGAGAATGGTTGTTTGTCTCGATGTGTCCCTGTGATGGACTGGAAACCTGTCCTGGGTGTCTCCGCCTTTCGCACAGTGACTAGGCCTGTCACGATAACAAATTTTGCTGGGCAATTAATTGTCTCGGAAATTATTGCGATAAACGATAATATTGTTTGAAATTTGAAAATAATTAGTAATTATTGTCAAATTTAAGAAGAAATGTTTGTTAATTTGTTTTGAGTGTAGTACCTTTATCGACCACCTGATGGCAGTATAAGACAGTTTGAACCGATGGCTGGATAGTGAGGGAGTGAGCAGCGTGTCTCTTTAGGAAAAATGGGAGGGAGGCTCCTTGACGTGACATGGGCTGTCTCTCCTTCCTTTGTTTTTGGTTCTCAAAATGGTGGACACTCGGTGTGGTTTGAGCTCTTTAGCATAGCATTTTTCATAAAGCTTTTAATTAAAAAAAAAAAAATCAGTAAACAAGTTCTCAGCTTTTTTTTTGCTGAGAAAAACAACTTTTTAAACGAAGGCACGAGTTTCAACCGTGAATTTTGGAGCTTCGACAAGACGGAGGTTTTTCCCGTGGTCGGCCTGTTAGCTTAGCTCGTAGCTTAGCTTCTCAGCTTATCTGCTGTTAACGATCCAAAAACGCAATTTTGGATCGTTAAAATGGATTTTAAAGAGAAACGAGAAAGGGAGGGGTCAGTAAAGAACATTGAAGTTGAGCTTTTTGTCATCCAGTGTTTTCAGTAGAACGAGAGAGACGAAGAAACGACAAAGCCGATAAATGAAAATGAGGTTGATAATTTTCATTTATCACGCGAATGATTGATTTATTGTTTATCGCAACAGACCTAATAGTGACTGCTAGAAATGGGCACCAGCGACCCCCACGACCCGAAAAGGAAGAAGCGTGTAAAGATAATGGATGGACAGATGGATGGATGGATGGATTCCAAAGTAAAAACAAATCTTATAATTCCTATAGTGTTTTCATGTAGACAGCTAAAACAAATCCTTTTGACCTTTTGTCATCTCAAATCTAACTTGCGCCACAAGATCATCCTCTTCCACAGCATTCTGGAACATTTTCTGTCTCTGGTTTCTGTTGTTTCTGATACTTACATGAACATTGGTGTTTTGGCTCACCTTGGTGTGTCTGTATGTGCACCTCTCTTTGTGCTCTCCAGAAGCTCTGCTGTGGGTCTCTGTTGTACTCTTTCTGCTGAGCGTTAACGTGTTCCATCAGGTCTCTCGGTCTGCTTGAGTGGTTTGTGACTTTCACACACACGTCGATGTTCGCACCCAGTAAAGGTGAGCCTGGGATGGTTATGGACACCTGCAAACCACATGATGTTTCTCCTGGAAAAGATGGGCGCACTGTTTCAAGTGGAAAATTTACAACCAAGATCATTTGAAGTTCTGGACCCTGAAGGCACCGGTGCTTGTCTGATCAAAGTAATGCTGTTGAAGTGAAGTAGAAACCATTATTATTTTAATAAACCCTGCTAAATCCCCCAAACCAAGAGTGAAAATGTATGAATTTACATTTCTGAAAGAGATGTATATTTGTATTTTTGATGCTTCAGCATTGATGAAGATCATATTGTGAGTCTGTATGGTCAAACACAAGGTCTGCAGCACGAGGTAAAAAAGTTGTCCTGGAAAATAACCAGTTTTGGATTTGTTTTAAAACTTAAAAAATACTCTTTGGAACTGGTCCCATTAAATAAAAAAACACTTCAAGAAAATTATAATAATTTCTTTAATCTTGAGTCCTGCTCCATCTCTATTTAGCTGTCCATAGGTCGATCTTAGACAACTAAACCAGTTCGCACAAAACGGTAAACTTTAGTTTAAAATTGGTAAACTATTTTCCCGAGTGATAAAAATGTTTGTATTGGAGGTGGTAATGGTATAAATATGCTGTGCAATGCTGCAGTTATAGTATGTGGGCTTTTGCAAAAACAAGAAAATGTCAACATTTAATTTAGATATCTAAAAAAAAAAAAACTTGTTCAGTGGTAATATTTTGTAATATCAACTTTTAGACCTACAATCAAGGCTCAAGGTTCTTTATTGTCATTCGCATCACATGTGGTACATGAGGTGAAATGAAATTGTGTAATGAAAGTTCCAGTTACAGCCAAAAATAGCAAAAATGTCCATGAACATGTTCATGTAAATCATGTTTTTTACACTTAATTTTTTTAGGTAAATGGAAGCAACATCGAAAATAGGATTTCAAACACACTCATTTGACTTTTTTTATTTATTGTTTGCATTTAATAATTTAACTTTCACTAGTTAGTGGGAATTCTTATTTATCCAGGGCGTTGCAAAGCTTAAACAACTGATTTTATTTTTAAAGCAACTGGATTTTAATTTTCTTGTTTTTGAAGATATTTTGCTTCTTATCACACAAGTTTTCTAAATGCACGTAGAAAAGAGTGCACTATCACTCTGACAGAATTTCAACATGAGTGTTTTTGACTGATAGAAAACTGTTTAATAACGGATCATTTTTATTTTGTATTGAAGTATTCACTATGAAACTTTCAGAAGAAACGACCTGTAAAAATCAATATAAACGAGAAGAGTTTCTGAAAAACTGCACAGCATGAAAAATGAGTGATGAACAACTGCAGACATTTGCACAAGGTTGTTAAAAAAACAGAACATTCACAAAAAAAAAATACTGAAAAGCAGAGCACTAGCTAAAAAGAGCATAGGTAAAAGCCAAAAGTAGCAAAATACTAGCTAAAAAAAGTGGCTTAAAGATAACTAAATGCATTATAAGCCTAGCTAGAAGCTTAAAAATCTAAAACAGCTACTTAAAAGCTATCAAAAAGGTAGCAAAGTAGCAAAAAGGCTAGCTAAAAATCTAAAAGTATTTAAAGGCTATAGGTAGAAGCTAAAAGTATAGTTGAAATAATAGCTAAAACAAAAAACAGTAGGAAAAACAATGTTTTTGAAAGAATTGAAACAATGTCAACATAATTCTCTAACAAAAATGTTTGTAAATAAAGACAAATATTTGAAAATATTAAAGTAAAAAAAAAAAAAAAACATAGCAGCAATCAGCTAAATGAGCTGAATGTTTTGATATACGAATGGGTAAAAAAGCATAAAGTATGCTGAAGTAGTTATATTGCTAAAAAGTGCAGAAAAATAAAAAAAGGAAAAAAGGTGTGCAAATGCTGAATCAGCATTCCTACAAATAATGATTTGACAAAGATTTGAAAATTAGAGTAACAATAAAAGCTAGACTCTTACCAACAGCATCATCTGCTGGAGTTATGGAGGCAGAATACATCTGTGGGCTCGCTGTAGAAAAGGAGAGAAATACATTCAGCTCCATTTCAGAGTTGCTGGTTTGAGTCCATGAAGCATATTTTCATTTTCTTGGCTCGTTTGGTTTAACTTGGACAACAAAAAGTATAAGTTTAAACACTAAAATTAGTAAAATAAACAGTCTATAAGAACTTGGTCACAATTTTTCTCATAAAATACTACTGTACTATTAAAAGGGGAAAACAACTATATTTGGCTCTGAAGTAGTGATTGTAATTAATTGATTTAGCAAAGCTTGTTTTTAAAGTTTTTTAAGTTTTTTAATCACATTTTTATCTTGTGTTGTTTTTATAAGCCAGATGTCAAAGACAAATCTCCATTTCATTGAATGTTAAGGACAATAAAGTTGAATTGATTGATTAATTGATTTATTGATTGATTAATTGATTGATTGATTTTTGAATGTTTACAAGGCTACATTTATTTGTACTTCTGATTTCGGCCTTTTCCCTCTTCAGGGATCTCCACAGCGAGTCATCCTCCTCCATTTCCTCTGTCCTCGCTCCAACTACCTCCACGTCGTCTCTAACTGCATCATATATCTCCTGTTTCTCATTTCTAACATCCTTCTACCAGTATACCCACTGTCCCTCCTCTGGACATGTCCAAACCATCTCAGTCTGGCCTCTCTAACTTTATCTCCCAGTTGTTCAACCTGTGCTGTACCTCTGATGATCTCCTTCCTAATCTTATCCATGCTTGTCACTCCTAAGTAGAACCTCAACATCTTCATTTCTGCCACTTCCAGTTCTGTCTCCTGTCTTTTTGTCCATGTCTCTGTCTCCAGACCATACAACTTAGCTGGTCTCACCAATGTCTTGTAAACTTTTCCTTTGACCTTTGCCGACACACTCTTGTCACAAATCACTCCTGAAACTTTTTTCCATCCACTCCATCCTGCCTGGACCTCTTTACCACACTCCCCATTTTCCTGGACAGTGAACGCCAAATCCTTGAAGTCCTGCACCTTTGTGACCTCTGCTCCTTGTAGCCTCACTGTTCCACCGGCCTCCCTCTCATTCACACACATGGACTCTGTCTTACTACGGTTTACTTTCATTCCTCTTCTTTCAAGTACATACTTCAACCTCTTCAAGTTCTCTTCCACCTGTTCCCTGTTCTCACCACAGATCACGATGTCATCTGCAAACATCATAGTCCACGAGGATTCCTGCCTGACCTCATCTGTTAGTCAGTCCATCACCAGAGCAAACAAGAAGCTTCCTGCACTTCACTATTCCACCACCAGGTTTCCTTATCGTCCATTCTTTGTCCAGATGACGCACCAAGTACCTTCCTACCTGTCTATCTAATAACAGTCATCTGGAAGCTCTTTCTTATCACTCACAGCCTTTAACAGCTCCTCTCTGAATTTCTCACAACATTATTTCTTCACAATCTTCCACCATTTGTTCTTCTTCTCTGATTTTACTCTTTTTCTCTTCTTCACAACAGCAGTCATTCTACACACAACCATCTGATGCTGTCTGACCACGCTCTCCCCTGCCACAACCTTACAGTCCCCAATCTCTCTCAGGTTTCCTCTTCTACACAGAGAGTAGTCGACCTGCGTACTCCTTCCTCCACTCTTATAGGTGACTCCATGTTCCTCCCTTTTTTGGAAATAACTGTTGACTACAGCCATTTCCATTCTCTTGGCAAAATCCACATCATCTGTCCTTCCTGGTTTCTTTCCTTGACACCAAACCTACCCATCACATCCTCATCCCATCTGTTTCCTTCACCAACATGTCTATTCAGGTCTGCTCCGATCACCACTCTCTCCTCCCTGGGAATACTCTCTATCACTTCATCCAGATCCTTCCAGAATGTATCTTTCTCCTCCACATCACATCCAACCTGTGGATCATAACCACTGATAATGTTAAGCATCAGATCTTCTATCTTTAGACACATCACACTATCTGACACTCTTTTCACCTCTACTACATTCTTTGCCAACTCCTCCTTCAGGACCACACCTACTCCATTTCTCTTTCTATCCACACCATGGTAAAACAGTTTGAACCCCGCTCCAATGCTGCGAGCCTTGCTGCCTTTCCACTTTAATGTTTGACAAACATCAAACCTTTGTCTTTATTTGTCAAAAGCTGCGTCACTTTATTTCCTGTATCATCGTTAGATTGGATGGCTTTTAAAAAACTGCAACATAACACACTACTTCTTCCCCTTTCATTTTTACAGATGTTAAAAATGATGGAAATCTGCCGCGGCGACGGAGATCTTTAATCCATGTCTATGTCAATGGTTGTCCACCGGACGCGAGATCTGGTTGAGACTAAATTAGGTTGTCTTGGACAAAGCGTTTGTGTTGACCCACATGCAGCAGCTGTATTCTATTTGTGTAAATAACAAAAATAAATGCTCTTTAATTATTTTTAATGATGAAGATCATCAGACCCCAAGTTGCCCCACCCATGCTCAGGAGTCCAATGGCCAAGCCGTGCACTCTGCCTCATCCCTGTGGGTTTACTCCGGGTACTTCAGTTTCTTTCAGTTAGACTGATTGGTAACTCTAAATTGTCTCTAGGTGTGAGTGAGAGAGTGAATGGTTGTTTGTCTCTATGTGTCCCTGTGATGGACTGGAGACCTGTCCAGGATGTCCCCCGCCTCTCGCACAGTGATTGCTGGATATGGGCAGCAGTGATCCAGAAAGGAAGAAGCAGGTAAAGATAATAGATGGATGCTATTCTTGCAGAAGGACTTCAGATGGAACCACTGTGTGGAACCAAACAAGTTTAAAATGTATTTTTGAAATCTTACCAAATAAACTACTTCCTGTATGAGAGGACATGCAGGAGTAAGATAATGTGCCTGGAGAGGAAAAAAGAGATAAAGATTAAAATTGTAAAACAAACACATCAGCTGTTCTTAACTATATGTTTATTCATTTTTGTGATGTAACATAAACAATAATTACCAGAACGTGCGGCTCTTGAGTTGTAACTCAGGAGTTCACACTGGTGTGTACTTGCATCTTGTGGCCCTTGGCATAAGCAAACAAGAAAATAATTCTTGCACGGTGGGAACACAAGAAGTGGATTCAAATTCTTCTTACTGAACTAGTATCTCGTACTTTTTATGCCCTTATAAGTATTGGTCAGATTCTGCGGAGTGTCCGATCCGATGCTTTTGGTGTAGATCAGCTCTCCCACGCACTCAGTGTCCACCGTCCTTCCCACCACCGACCCGTTATGTATGATCAAACGATGAACGTCACCATCAACAGCAGCGTAGAGAAATCGGGTGTCGAATGGCACATTGATGCAATGTTTGATGGCAGCTACTGGGCAAGGGCCACAGCGGAACATCCCTAAGAGAATGATGAATTTGTGGTTATTACATAAGTGATATTTAGTGATCTAGAAATTTTTTTTAATTATCTCTGACTTGTATTTAAGAAGGAAACTCATTTTGAACCTTCACTTCTCATCATGTTTTCAAAGTAGTGTTCAAATATCAATGTCTGAGGAGCACCAACTTGATGCCCGTGTGCAGCAGAAACCCACCTCCGCTCTTCTCTTGTGGTGTTGGATCCACAACCTGCCAACCATCAAACTCTGCACCGAGGTCTAACCTCCTCATCCAGCACTCCACCCACACATGGAAGTTCCTGTTTGTGCACACAAGTACTCATGCAAGAACCGAGGCGTATTTCTGAGCCACAAAAATATGAATCTTCTAATCAATTCATTTGTAAGACCATATTTCTCCAGTTTTAACTTATTTCCATTGGCTTCCTGTCAAATTCTGAATTTAATTCAAAATCTTACTTCTAACCTTCCATTTTGATAAATCCTATAGCTATGGTTGGCTTGTTATGATGCTATAGGCTTAGGCTACTGGATGACAAATTGACCTAATTTCCTTACATGAATAGCTAAAATTGAATATATTGAGCTTGGACTTTGTTGTTTAAAACTGAATAGTTTTCATTTGATACTATTTCTGTCTTAACGTGATTTTTGACCTGCCATTGTGTATCTGTTCCTCTCAAACCCAGCCGGTCGAAGCAGATGGCCGCTTGTCCTGAACCTAGTTCTGCTAAAGGGTTCTTCCTCATGAGGGAGTTTTTCCTTTCTACTGTTGCCTTTGTGCTTGCTCAAGATGACAGTCAGCGATCAAGTTAAACTCAAAGCAGTCTGCTCTTTAGATAATGAATATTATTAACGTACGTTTTATGTATAGGCCTATGAATGTTTCTGTTCAGTGCCCTGAGATGACTTCTGTTGTGACTTGGTGTTGTATAAATGAACAGAATTGAATTGAACTGAATTAAAGAGCATCACCTACCAAATGCTGTCATCAGACAGGCTGAGCTTTTCTCCACTGGTTGTGTAAAACTCCTCGATGGTGGTGTTGCCATCGGCGTCATGTGCTGCGGTAAAAACTGTCACCACTCTGGAGGGGATGCCCAGAACTCTCATAACTGGGGAAAAGGATGAGAAATTTCAGTTGAAATACAACATATGAGGCTCCTTTTTCTTGTAATTTAAACAGTTCTGTGGTAAAATATTAGCTTCATTACTATGTCACTGCAACAAGTTTGTTGGTTTGATGCTACTGGACAATTTTGTGTTTTATTTGTGTTGCACGTTTTTTCTTTGGCGGCTCAGATTCTCTCCATTTGCTTCAGTTTCCATTCAGACTAAAGATGCATGTGTGTTAGGAGTGTTGACTGTAAATCACTGGTGACTGCAGGTTTTAGCTGCTGTTTGTCTGGGTCAGCAGGGTTGGTCTCATGCAGCCCTCCTCAGGACAAAGTGGCTTCTGCTAATGCGATCTGGTTCATGAAATATTTTGCTAACAGACAGAAAGAGTTGACTCCAACAGCTGATAGCAGAGTTTTAAATAAAGATGTGTTAGGGCTGACTTTCAGCTACTATCGGCCAATTTTAGCTCAAAATATTTCAGACTGACTGAGTTATATCCATTTTTTTCCTATAAACTCCAATAGTGGTGGCGGCCATCTTGAATCAAGCTTCAAAAGTTAGATGTAGATCCAGTGATTTCTTTCTGAGTTTCATTAAACTCCGTCCAGAATTTTTTTTTTCTTTTCTAGACAGATGAATCAACATGTGCATTCACAAACACACATACATATACATGATCGCCTGCCTTTCATGGCTGTGGACAACAAAAAGGGTCAGATCTCAAATAGCAGAGTGACTTAGATGCTCAGTAACACTAAATGAGTTCATGGCGATACTTTTACTCTAAAAATAAAGCTTTGACTGTGAGGTGACCATGAGCTTCCTGATGGTAACCTAGTGATGATACTTTAAGAAATAGGCTTTTACAAACTTCTTATTCAAAATACCTGTGCAGAGGACCGATGCGAACACCCAGCACTGTCCGTAGCGTACAGGTTTGCCGTTGGATGAGAGCCACTGGTGAAGGATATCAGCGCTGCCGCTCCAGTCTGTCGGTTTCACGCCATCTGTGTAATTGTCCTTCCACCTTCCGAGCAAAACACCAAGATCATCATTGCTGTTGACCTTTAAGAGGAGAAGAAACAATATTTAACTTAAGTCTCTCCACAGCAAACCTGCAGAGGACAAGTTTCATTTATGCTTTTGAAATGAATATTAGGAAAGAGCAGAAAGATGCATCGTATTTCTTATCAGCTACAAAGCTTACCATGGCACAGATCACCCTGGAGATGTAGACGGGGTCAGCTCTTAAAGCGTAGTCTCTGCTGCTGTTGTGTAAATGCTCGTTGCTGAGCTGCAGGAGCTTCAGACATGCGTCCAGGACTCCAGGTTCATACTGCACCCATCCAGAAAGACACAGATAGAGCTGTCCTGTACTCTTTATGCATCTTTCTCCTCTGGCTCTCGCTCAAGACGAACACTTCTGCTCTCTCCCCCCCGTTCTCCTTCTGCTTCTGCTCTGTGTGTTTGGAGCTCCTGGCACACATCTCCCGAACTAAATATACTATTATGGATCTGGTGAGCTAGACTTTCAACGCAATCGACAAAATATGTTAAATAAAACAACAGGGTCCTGGAGAACCCTCTTTTCCGGCTGAGACTCACGCTGCGGGGTACTTCAGAGATCCATGGAGGGTTTGGCAGCTGATGTGTCTCTCAGTTCTGTCTCAGGAGGACACTGAAGATATTTATATATTTGGATTTATGATAGTAGGGTTTCTGCTCTTTGGCATCGGCAGGGCTCTGTTTTATCAACTTTTGAAGAAGACTTCGGCAGCAGTTTCGGCCATGGCAAACCTTTCGAGTCTGTATGAAGGGTTGGTTCGTGCTATGAGTACCCAAAATCAGTTGATTTACGAGCTAAACCGTAAGATGGATGTGATTTGTAAGAATCACAGGGCACCTGCAGCTTCTAGGACTCGCCAGCATGTTGGGATTGTCCTTGAAGAAGGCTCATAGCATGGATCAGTGGAGTGAAAATACCCATAAATCTGGCCATTTTGGACCGGAAAAGTACCAGCAGGACTCAAGGCTGACAAGAAAAAAACAGTCTGCCTGAAGAAAATCAATAATTGTGGCTTAGCTCCCCGTTTGGCCTCGGATACGAGCCGCCTATCAAATCTCTCTTGGGACATGGGTAACTATGGGACAAAGCTTTGTGTTTCGCAAACACCCCCAAGAACTTCTGTGCAGGTTTATCAGAACTGCCAGCTGAACGACAACGTCAGAACTGTGGCCTATCTGACAGTGCTCATGGACAAATCTCAACGTCTTGACGTCAAATGCATGTAGTCGTGTCTATAAATGTGCTTGCTGGTAGAGTTTTTGGATGTCTCAAATCGTGTCCTGATAGGAAAAGATGTGAAGAGCTCTTTTTTGTAATACCACTATCCATCCTCTTACCTTACCTTTTTCTATCTAAAAGTATTCTGATAAAGAACAAGGGGTCGCACTATTATATCAGCAGCAACGTGCACGCTGCCCATCTTACGGACGACTGTACGAACATAATTTCACTGTATCCCGGTACAATGATAATAAAGCTTATTCTGATTCTGATTTGTTTATGGCGTGTTGTTGTGTGTCACATACCTGACCAAATGACCAGGGTCGTTCTTGAACATTTGAAGGAGTGCCAGTAAAAATCAGTCCATAATCATTCTTGATGTACTCTTTTATGTGGGCATCCTGTTGCATGTACACTGGATCATCTGCAACACAATGGCAGGGATGTTTAATCACATCTTCATCAGAATAAAAGCTTGAACATCAATTATTATTAATATGTAGACCCACCTTTTAGCCAAGGGTTGCAGAGCAGAACAAATGTCCCCACCATGTAAGTCATTCTGTGATCTATGGTCTCTATGTGGACCAGGAGTTGGTACAGAGCCACCGGGGACAGAACAGGGGAGCAGACATGGATGATGACTGACTGCCTACTGATTTTTCCCGCAGGAACTGTAGCCGACCATCCTTGTGGGGCTGACTGTTCCTCAAAAAGAACTGGAATCTTTTGTGACGAACCCTCTGCAAAAAATAATGTAGACTCTGTGGCGTTACGTCATCAAATTAGCATTATTATGCTGAATGAGTGTTTTTTCTGATTCTGCTTATATTTGCTAAATTGTGTGACTGTTTTTTTTATGTTAACCAACATTAGAATCCATTTTTACATGTTTTTACACTGGTAAATGTAAACACAAATCATTTGTATGTCATATAAACTACCTTTACTTTGGTAAAGATCCACATATGCATTATCTTTACCTGCTTTTTCCTTTTTGGGTCGGGGGTTATTGACAGCAGTCATTGTGCGAGAGGCTGTTAAGTATTGTTGTTTTTAGTTTGTTTATTTCAAAAGTAATATTTTGTATCAGCCTTGTTAACAATTTACCAAATAATTTGAAAAGCCAAGCAGAAGATCTCAGGACACATGGGGTGACATTTAATTTTGCAGCCAAGAAGCAATATTTATACAAGTTTTTTAAAGGATTTTCAAAATTTCTTGGGACTTTTGCTGATTATTTATGCATTTTCAGTCAAAAAAAATCTGGTAATATTAAAAGAAATATTGTTCACTTTTATTCATTATCACTTGATCTTGATGATTAATGAATCATGTACACACCAAAAAAGTAAAACCTACTCTTGAACTCAAGGAACGAACCAGTGTTGTGTCAAAAAAAATAAAAATAAACCAGACATCTGAGCCAAAAACATTTTTAAATTGAATCTTTAAGCATTATGTCACAAGGACAGTTTGTCCCATTTTGAAGAAAATTATTAAATAAAAAACTCAAAATCTGTAAAACATGGTTTATAGAATAAGAGATATTTTTACTTTCATGCATCATCCAGTCATGCTTTTAGGTGGAACTGTCTCAGTATTTCATACCTAAGCAAACTTCCAGGACCAGTCTCTCATTGTTGGGATTCCAAGACCGGCCTTTGAACAGCAAAGTCACTTTGAATGGTTTCCCCCGTCGTACCACCAGATGGTTTCCACTGAGCCCCTGGGTCTCATGGGAAATATTGTTCTCATGAATTTCAAAGTTGACCAGCCCCAGTCCAAAGTAGTCAGAGCCTGGAAGAAACAGGTCATGTATGATAAAATTTCACCACTTTGAAGGCTTGTACGGAGCTCTTGAAGTGCCAATAGAGATTTATTTTATCCTGTGTCCATGACGTAACAAGTACATTAAATGTGCACCCAATTTAACAACATATAGATACAATACTTAGTCTGCACCTCGTTATTGTGACCTCATGATAAACATGAACTGCACACAACATAATTACAGTAAATGTACAAAACTGTGTGAACTGACCAAAGTTTATATAAATATTATATATGGAGATAAATTAGTCTCAAAAAGTTTTCACAAGTACGTTCAACAAGGTTTTTGTGTGTGCCACAAGATTTGAAATTGCATAAACACTTTTTTCTAATGTACAATTTTCAAACTGCACAAATAGAAACTTGCTACACGTACAAATTGTGAAATGCACGTGCATGTCGACATGAGTGAGTGCACTGATCAGCTTCCCTGTGTATCTGACTCAGTGTTGCCAGATGGGAAATGATGATCATACCAGTGGCTTAAATTTTTTGTATTTTTATTTTCTTTTATACTACATTACAATAAACAATTCCCATTATAGCATATAATGCGTTTGCTAATAAATAAGCTAAAAAATAGTTGAAAAAGACACTACCTGCAGAAAAGCACCTCTACTGGTGTGGAGTGCAGAATGATATCAATATCTGTCAGTCTGATTATTATTATTACATTTATTTTAATTTCACATGTTTATATGTGCAACACTCCTGGGTAATAGGGTTTCCTTTATAGTTTAGTTTAGTTTGTTTGTAGTTTAACTCCAAATACCTGAAAAGGTAATTTGTCCTAAAATTTCAAAGCAAAATATATAAAACAGTGCACATAATTTTATTCAGCAGCTTCCTTCTTCAGGGGTTTCCACAGCGATCAAACTCGCAGGAAAGTTTTGTCCTTTTGTTTCTCGTCAGGTGCTCTTCCTGACACAACCTGGGCTCGAACCCTCAACCTCGGGATTACAGGACTGCAGCACTGACCGCTGACCTACTGCAACTTTTAGATAAAGCAGTGCACTGCTTAAATATCTTTAGAATGATTAAAGCTGCTTTAATTTTGACAAAAAAAAAAAAGTTACTTCTTTTGATTCTTATTTTAAATGTCACAGTTTCAGTCTTTATCTGGGCTTTGGACCAAAACCCAAAATAGTTATTTTACTGCAGTAATTTATTTTAGAAATAAAACCTTTACACCAAACTTCATGCTCAGTAATCCAGGTATAAAATCCAACAATGTCCAGTCAGGTCATCTGGACGGTTTCTTTTGTTGTGCCGAGACGTTTCGCCCTCCATCCAGAAGGCTTCATCAGTCTGAGGAAACACACTCGTCTTTTCTCTTCTTCAGTTGTAACAAAACAAACATTTGTTTATGAATTTTTGTACAAAAACTTCATCAATGTGTTTGGGGTTCGTTTCTACTCCACAGTTTTGTAAATGAAAAGTATTTTTACCCCACAAACTGGGAAAGTTACTTTTAGAAATTGAGGGGTTTGCATACTAATGTGTGATAAACAATTTAAACGTTTACTGGCTTCAAACAGACAGTTCAGGTGAAAAAACGTCCGACTCAAGATATTTGAGCAGATAATTTCACCAACAAGTTTCACTCCGATCTAAAACAAAATGCTCGACTTCATGCCGTCGTTACATTTACACACAAAACTGCTTAAACTCTCACTTTTACGCTACGGTAGAACCAAGAAAACTTTTATAACGGCATAACTGTCACTAAGCAGCTTCATCATCATTTTAACACACCGAGTCCCAGATTTATTTCATGTAAAACTCAAGTTTACAGTCTGTCGTCAGTACTTTTCTCCAAAGCGTAGCACAAAACTGAATAGTTCAAATACCTTGAGCAGGACTGAAAAGTAATCTATGGTGCCACAGTTTGCACCCGTCACACCCAGGGACAAAGGTCAGCACTGATACTAGTGTCAAACATTAATAACAGTGTAGTAAAAAGAATATTAAGGGCTATTTTTTTATTTAATTGACTTTAAATCGATCATCACATCTGGTATTGGTTTGCTAGTCTTTTAGGAGTTATTCCATTTGATCAAAGCTTAATCTTAATGGTTGTAGAAAATATATTTTAGTTTAGTTCGCAGGATAAACTCACCACCGACGTGGGTTGCTGTCTGCTGCGTGTAGTCCATGACGTGACAACTGGAACCTCGAGAGGCTCAAGGAATGATGAGCTCGCTCCACCTTCCCACCAACAAATCCTCCCCTCGTTAGCCTTTTCTACAACTCTCCGTTAATCCTGAGTTCAAACAAGACGTAGCTCCAGCAGGTCGAATCAAAATAGTTCTTTTATTTCTGTCAAAGGCAATGACAAGGATTTAATACAAACATCACAGACTTATCTTTAAACCATGTGGGGGGGGGGACAAAAAGAAAAACACAACTGGGAAAAGTTTTTTTTTGATACAAAACAGTGAATGGGGATTCAATCAGTTTGATTTATCGTAGTGTAAATGTTGGATCTAATGTCAACAACCCAACAACCCTGACCCATTCCATTTTAGATTTTAGAATACGCCACTTAATGCAACCAGTGCACGTTCTGAAAGCCACAGATTTATGAAATTGCAAATTATTTTGTTGTAGATTAAACAAGGTGCAAATGTTGTAAAACTCCCCCGCTCCCTGAAATCGTTTCTGCAGAACACGGCGCTCCTGAAACGTAGCTTTGAAAACACGTTTCAGCTCAAAAAGTCACTGCAGGAAACTAAACGAGAAACGAATTGAGGGCGGAGCGGCACCACGAACAAAAACAACTAAAGAAAATGTGTTCGTCACCAAAACAAGCTCAGGGTGTTGGCAGCTTGTTTAAAATCTGAAATGTTTGCCCGAAGCAAGTTTAAAACCAAAGTCACAGCAGCCTGGGATTAACTCAAATCTGAAGAATTAATTTATACTTTCACTTCAGACAATAATAAAATGGTTTTTCCAACATTTCCTCATTTCTGGCCAATACAAACAGAGAGATGGAATTAGGAAAATACATTTTTTTATGAGGGAAAATGAAAATGTGCTAAAAACAAGCAGCTAATTTACGCACAAAAAGAAAGAAATTTACAAAATGCATAAATTTACAAAATAAAATCCCTTACTGTCACAGAATGACTCAAATTTCCTCGTACCATTTTTTTTTCTATTACACCCTTTTTTTTAATAAAATAAATAAAAATATAACACAAATAACACAATAAAAACCGAACACTTCAGGAAAGCACAAATAACCTTGTTAGCTTACATAACTTAAGACAAAAACACAAAAACATTTTTGTACAAACATCACATGAAAAAAATGTTTTATTGCTCATTTAAAGTGAAACTCTGTTTAGATACAACCAAGCGTTGAAGTTAAATCCTCGTGACGACAGCAGAAATAAGAATAAACTGATTTGTCAAGATAAGAAACAGTCTTCCTGATTAGGAATTGATTTAAGGCATAAATTATATTTTCTGAGCTGATTTGAAGTGCATATATTAAATATTGTTCCGTTTCCTTCCTAAAGACGCCACCTTTGCTCTGCAGAGCTTTGCTACACCCATAACAATCAGCACAGTGAGCTTTATGTGGAGATTAAAGCTCTTTACCTGCTGCTGGGGGGTGGGGGGGTCGTCCAACAGCTTCTTCTGCCTGCAAGCATCTGCTGAACTTTCCTCACCAACTGAAGTTGCAACACACACACACACACACCTGTACAATTCTGTAACACTTTACAACAAGATACACAAAACGTCTCAGGAACGAATCAAGATCTAATGGGTAGTTAACCAGTACTTACTGGGGAACACACAGCCAAGCCTTATTAGGGGACTGCTGGTTTGTTACCTTGCAAAGGAAGAACTAATCAAGAACCAAGTTACCATGGAAACCAAAGGGGAACAATCAGGAGCTAATAGTTAACCAATAGGTTTACAAAAGAGAACATCCAATAAAACCAGTAAACGGTAGGAAACAGGTTTTTTTTTTTTTACTACACGAGCTGTGACCTCACTGGTGCAGGGTTTATTCAGATTGAACCCACATGGAGAATTTCTCCTCTGTTTCTGTGGTAACAAACCAGTAGTCCCCTAATAAGGCTTGGCTGTGTGTTCCCCAGTAAGTACTGGTTAACTACCCATTATCTCCTGATTCGTTCCTGAGGTGTTCCCCAGTAGTTAATCAGCTTTTGTGTACCTTATTGTAAATTCTAAAACTCTTTATGGACCTACAGCCAACCCACCTAAACACAACTGAATCAAACACATTAAGACTTCACTCTGCTCCGAACACCTGAGACTACGGCTAAACGCCTACTTACCTAACAGTGGACATGATCAGGATGAGTTTGACCCCCCCACCCCCACCAGCAGCGGCCTATCATCACCTGGTTTCCCTCACACGCGCCGATAAAACACTGTTCAGACTCTGTTCTGAGACGCATTTACTGTCGTCTTTAAAGCATCGGACATCTTAAAACTAGTGGCAAAATGATCGTTAAATCATGGCCACCTGATTAGGTAATAAAATTGTGTGTGTGTGTGTGTGTGTGTGGGGGGGGGGGGGGTTTAAAACCACATTCAAAACATCAAAGTTCATGCGCAATAATCCAGGTAGAAAATTCAATAAAGTTCTGTCAGATCATCTGGACGTTTTTTTTTTTTTTGTTGAGGCGTTTCGTCCTTCATCCAAAGGACTTCTTCAGTCCATGGAAACGGAACAAACCGAGTCCCACAAGCAGCACACCCACACCAGTTTGCTGGTGGCGAGTCGACTCCTCTGAGGCAGCCATAGCCAAAGTGGTTCAAAACATCAAAGTTCATGATCAATAATCCAGGTAGAAAAGTTTGTTGTGGCTCCTCGGACTGATGAAGTCCTTTGGATGAAGGATGAAACGTCTCAACAAAAAAAGAAACCGTCCAGATGACCTGACTGAACTTTGTTGCACATTCAGGATGAAGTTTATTTTGCTTTTTTTCAAACCAAAGTTGATCTGAAACTGATGACATGATTTATAAAACGTTTACTTTCAGGCCATATTTGCTCCAGTTGTTGCCATCAAGACATGGTTCAGCCTAGGTCTCCCCCCCGACCCACCCACCCCCGCCCGAGGTTACTATAGGAGCAGCCGAAAAGGACTATTCCACACTTCATGTGAACTCAGACTGACTAGTGGGGGGAGTGAATGTACTGTAGATCATTTTAATGTTTTATTTGAAGCATTGTTGTTAGTGGTGTCCCGATATCAAACCCAATACCAGCTGCAAATATTTGCACTTTTTGATTCATAAAAGCGCCAACACTTCACACCGATTCCACTTATATACTTGGCGGAATCATTTTCTCGTCCTCTTCAAAGTAGCCGAGGGCAAAAAATGAAAAATGCCAGTGGTTGGAAAATATTTGAAGACAAAAACGGGTGATGTTTGTTAGGAGCGAGCAGGCTGAGGTGTTCTTAATAAAAGAAATGTTTTGAAAGTTACTGTGCAAAGTTTTAAGTACTAACTCAACTACTCAGTATAAATACTGTGTATCGGCAAGTACTTGTCCTTGTTTAAAAAACAAAACTAGTATCGGGACAGCCCTAGTTGTAAGTAAGAATATGAATCGATAAATACGACCTTGTCTTGTTGCTTGGAGCGACATGTTGGGTCAAAACGTGGGAAAATGTTTTCAGCTCCATTTCAGAAACAGGAGGAGCAGCTGCTTCAGCGATCAGGTCAAAAGTAACGACCCAGTTCTTCAGGATTCCAGTTTTAGAAGTGCGGCAAGAAAGACTTTACGTTGTTGCTGAGCTGTCAAGCCGGGTGAGGGTGGGGGGTGGGGGGTCAAAGGGTGTGAAACTGGTCTAGAACCTAAACATGCTTTGTGGAAATCCACTCAACCTTTCTGAGAGTTAAAACTTGTTTCGCCGAAGCGGCTTCGTTTGGCTTTTTTCAAACGCAGCTTCGGTCGCAGACCCAGAAACTGAAGCAGAGTTTTAAATCAGCGTTAAGGAAACCGACCACTACAAGACCCGAAGCCACACGCATGCACCGGAACACCTCCGCTAACCAATTAGACAAAACACGAACATCCAAACCCTCACTTGGTACAAAATATCAAAATAAATTTTGTATAAATAATTTAAATAGCTATACTAAAGCTGAAGAATAGGTCTAAATTTAAAAACCAGCCACAGACGTGCTGATAATGTTATATACAACAAAAGAAATTGAGATTTTATAGCTAGGGTGGCATTTTAGAGACGACTCCCCAAGTCCTTTGATAAAACATTAGGCTCGTCTTTCCCAATAAACGCTGGGCCATAAAACATTGGTTTACAGCTCCTTTAGGAACCCAAGAAGTCCTACGTTGAGGGCGATTTGTGCACAAGTGCCCCCTCTCCGCTTTCGTTTCGTCTAGCCGTCCCCCAAAACGTGCGACAGGTCGCCAAAGTCACAGTCGAACAGTTCGCTGATGCCTTCATGGTCCTCCAGTCCGAAGTGGTAATCGTGGCTGTGAGGAGGGGACAGGTTGATGAAACTTTCCAACGGGAGGGGAAGACCCTCTCCGTTCAGGAGGTCCGAGGACGAGAGGGGCGAGAGATCAAAGTCTGTGATGTCTCCGAGGCTGGAGAACGGGTCGCCCCCCAGGAGAGATTCTGCCAAAGTGAAATGACAAACATTGTTGCATGAGCAGTATAAAAACGGTTTAGAGCTTCTGTTTACCCCCCACAAACAACAATAATGTGGTGGAGTTGTTGAGTTTTGTTATTTCTGTGAAAACATAACTTCAAATTAACCAAGATCAACAAAAAAACATTTAGAAAATACACAGAGTCCTCAGCAGAGAACCACCTAATCTCAGTAACGCTGAGGGTTTTGTTGTAATTTCCAGATTATAAGCCACTACTTTTTTCACACGGTTTGAACAACCGCGACTTTTACAATGCTGCGGCTAATTTATGGGTTTTTAATTTTAAATTGTGCTGCTCGGAGTGGCTGCATGTTGGAGCAGCTCTGTTACATTCATTCTGAGTTATTGCTTTAGGAAACTTTGATTCCCGTTTTTCTGGAAACACTTTATTTTGGATGATTGTTTCCTCTGGTATCAGAAGCTGTGCAACTGGAAGGATTTTTACTGAAACTTTTTTACTTTTGGACATTGGTTATGATGCATAACCATGGCAACAAGGTGTTTTTTTTTTGTTGTTTTTTTTTTACAACCGGGAGCAGTTGAATAACATCTCAAACACTCAAATAATATCTCAACTACAGCCCCAAATCTCAAATGAGTTGAAAAGGAGGCTTCATGGATGCATTCCTCTCTAGCTGCTGGCTGTGCCTGATCACTGAAATCCTAAGATCTCCTCAGGAGATCCTGGTACTGGCAAGAGACGTGGCTCGTGACAGCAGAAGGACTGGGATCATCCCTTGGCACCTGCAGCTGGCTGTCCACAGCGACGAGGAGCTCAGCAGACTGCTGGGAGGCGTGGCCATCGCTCTGGGAGGAGTTCTGCCTGGTATTCAGGCTGTCCCACAGCCCAGGGGACTGAAGGACCAGCCAAGTCTGAGTGGAAGGATCGGCCAGCATCTGAGGCCAGTCTCTTTGGATCTGATGTGGGACGGACCTTTACAAGAGATCCTTCCCGTCTACAGCCATCAGAATCTACAACATCTCTTAATGAAATGAGAATAACGTGTTACAAAAACATTGAATTCCATTTGGGATTAATAGATTTTTAATTAATTTATTTTTTTTATTGAATTGAACTGATTTTATTTTGACGGGCTAACGAGCTTCCTGCCACCAAAACATTTAGGATTATCACACCCGGGCGCACGCATAGCTGCCCAATACATGTCTCCCTTGGGGGGTGGAGCCTCGTAACTCAAGGAGACTACCTGTATAAAGGTTAAAAAAAATAAATAAAACTGGACCAGTAAAATTACCAAACAGGTCAAAGTGGATAAATAAAACTTGATTTCATTGGACCACTGGGGGTACAACTAAGTATTTGAGCCACTTGAAATACATGTAAATTGTGCACTAAAGTGGCACTCCGAGCTCGATGGGAGGTTTGGATGACTGGCGATGAGAACTCGTTTATCAAAACTGGCCACATGCGGACAGCAACTTTTACTCAAGTCTGTCAGTGGATCCTGACAGAGGAGCAGTGTCAAAAAATCCTCCATCACCAACGGGTTTTGAATGTCAGCTGTGTGACGGGAGGACAGCACAAGCTCAAAAGGGCGCAGTGCGCAGGAGGAAGATGAAGACAGCGATCGATGACTTCCTGGTAGGCTACTGTATAATATACTGTGTATTTTTTACCAGCCATGTTACAGGCACTGTTCAGAAAAAAACATTTACTGTACATATTTGTGTTTGTTACCGGTACGTATTTAATTAAAAGTTTTTAAAAATAATCTTTGTATAAATATCTCATGTTACAACGTGGAAACCCACGACTTGTAGACAAGCACGGCCTATATATGTACTTTTTTTTTTTCTTTTTAAATACAGTGGGCGCGGCTTATATTCAGGTGCGCTCAATAGTCTGGGAATTACGGTAAACACATTTCTTCTTGAGCACATAAATAAGAATACATTTTTGATGTTGAATTACATTAACTTATTTTGTGCAACCCGTCTGTACGTCTTCTCTGAACAACTTTATTAGAACAGCAACAGTTTCCACCAAATCACAGAAAATCTCTTACAAACAGATTTCTGCTCTGCTCCGGTGTTCTATCTGAAACTATACCTGTTGAAAACTGCAAAATTTTACCGCATCATTTCCAAGACAGTAGTCGTTTAGTACAACTACGTGTTTGCAGTCTAACTTTAAATGGCTAAACTCGGGAAAAGCTTTAAAAAAAAAATTGATGGTACTAGTGTACTTATGCTACTTTACTTTTGACGTTTATGCTACTACGACGGAGCTTTAGGGTCATGAAAAAAACAAACAAACATAAATTACATTGCCACATAAAGAAAAAAATATTAAAAGACATAAAATTACAAGAATAAAGTCGTATGAGACTTTTTTATTTTTTAATAACGGCTGTCCTTGATTTTTTATTTTTTTCAACGAGTCGGATCCACAACGTGACCTGTCAATCAATCCAGTAGGCGTGGCAGCAAATGACCAATCCGAAGCTAAATGCTCCTATAAGTGAGTCGCCGAGTCTCTTCAGCCTCTTTCTGGAATATTTATGGAAGACCTCTAACAGCGCTGCACACGCACAGTTTCACTCACCGAGCGCCGTTTTCAAACGGAAACAAAAATGAAAGTCATGACGTAATGACATCGTGTACATGCATCTCAGGAGCAGCACACAAAAACACAACTTCATTTTATGTGCAAAAGTTTTCATCCACAAACAAAAATTTGCAAACTCAATACCAAATTGTATTCATTTTCAGTCAGAAATAAAATATCTGATTGATTCCCTTAAATTGATTAATAATAAAAAAAGCTAATTTGTTTCCTTCTAATTACAATTTATATTTTCCCAAATCCTCCGACTAAATTTTAATTTTATTTTATATTTTGTTATTCTTTATCCTTTTCTTTCCAATCTGTTCTTAAATAGTATCTCTGATTATCTTGTATAATTTGTACTTGTTTTACAACGGACTCAGGTCACAAATCTTGTCACTGTTTTGGAGGTGCTGTTTGTTAATTACAATCCTGTTTGTTTTATATATTGTGTTCAATAAAGATAAAAATTATATATACACAAAAACACAACAGTAGGTGGCAGTACTGGAGCACGTTTTGAGAACGAGCGTCAGCAACGATAAAAGTTAACAAACATTCTTCATTTTACCAGTTAAAATGCAATAAACCTGCTTTCTCGTGTCGGAGTTCAGATATTACAATACATTTAGCTTCAGACTGGTCATTTGCTGACACGCCTACTGGATTGATTGACAGGTCGCGTTGTGAATCCGACTTGTGGGAAAAAAAAAATTAACGACAGCTGTAAAAAATAAAAAAAGAGTCTCGTACAACTTTATTCTCATACTACTAGGACTTTATTCTCATAATACTACAACTTTATTCTCATAATACTAGGACTTTATTCTCATAATACTACGACTTTATTCTCATAATTTTATTTGTTTTAATTTGTTTTTCTTAGCGTGGCCCTAAAGCTCCGTCGTAATTTTAGTACTTAGTGTATTTTTAGTTAACACTTTTTTCTTAGTTCATATCTTAGATCTTATTAATGTTTTTCTTTTACATTTTAATACTTTTGTTGGATGTAACTGGGACCCTGTGTACATAATTTCGTTCCACCACATGTACCACATGTGACGTGAATGACAATAAAGAACCTTGAATCCTTTAAATTACTGGAGCACAACGAGGAGGGTTTTGCAACAGTGGATTTCAAACAACAAAAAACTGGTTTTCAATAATTAATCCACTGACCATTATCCTACAGACAACATAATTTAATTAAACAAAATAAACCCTAAAGGTGAACCCTCACCTGTGTCACCACCTAACACCAGCGATGAAGCGTCCTGCTGCGACGCTGCCGTTGCTGTAGACGATGTGGACGCGGGCGATGATGCAACCACCTCCTGGGCAGCTGTGCACGTTCTAGACTGCAACAGCTCTGCAGTTTCTGAGGAAGGGGTGTCTGGGGACGTGTCAGCGTTGGTTTTCGAGGGACTGCTTCCTGTCACAGGGCTGCACACGCCAGAACTGTCTTCCGGACAGAGGAAGACGTCTATCGGACCCTGCGTGCTCTTGAGCGACACCTGGTAACCCTGGGAGACGCAGACACGCCGCGCTGTTAGCTGAAAACCCAACAAACTCAAAGATAAGCTCGAGTTTAAAGACTCGAGTCACTTTTAAGGCCTTCACCTCGCTGGGGTCTGAAACCTGCATCTGAGTCTCGGGCGGAGCTCTGATCACCATGACCAGCTGCTCCGGAGAGTCGGACGATTTCCTCAGGTCCTGGCAGCGCACGTAACCCAGCGTGATGAACATAGAAATTAAGGAACAAACAAAAAAGCCTACGTTTTGTTTTATTACAGCAAATGATATTTTGCCAAAGCTACAAACAAACAAAAGAAAAAACATTGTCTTAAAACCCCAACTGCTTCACTTCTGATTAATCTGGACCCGTTTGTCAAGTTGAACTATGAGAAAAGTTCAGGTTCATGTCATTTATTCAATGCATCGCAATTTATTTTACTGCACAGCTATAAGTCGAACATGTGCCGAACATGAAGCGTTTTCATTAAACCAGAATCTGCTGCACACGGCCTCAACATGTCCAGTTCATCTCCACTAGGCCTGTCGCGATTAACAAACAATAAATCCATTAATCGCATGATAAATGAAAATTATCAACCTCATTTTCATTTATCGGCTTCATCGTTTCTTCGTGTCTCTCTTTCTACTGAAGACACTGGATGACAAAAGGCTCAACTCCGGTGCTCTTCACTGACCCCGCCCTTTCTCTTTTCTCTTTAAAATCTGTTTTAACCATCGAAAATCAAGTTTTTTTTGGATTGTTATAAGCAGCTAAGCTTCGAGCTAAGCTAACAGGCCGACCTCGGGGAAAAAAAACTCTGTCTTGTCCAAACTCCAAAATTCACGGTTGAAACCCGTGCCTTTGTCTAAAAAGTTGTTTTTCTCTGCAAAAAGAAGCTGAGAACTTGTTTACCGATTTTTATTATTAAAAGCTTTGTGTGAAAAATGCTAAAGAGCTCAAACTACACTGAACATCCGCCATTTGGAGAGCCGAAAAACAGGAAGGAGAGACAGCCCATGTCACGTCAAGGGGCATCCCTCCCATTTTTCCTAAAGAGACACGCTGCTCGCTCCCTCACCATCCAGCCATAGGTTCAAACTGTCTTATACTGCCATCAGGTGGTCGATAAAGGTACTACACTCAAAACAAATTAACCAACATTTCTTCTTAAATTTGACAATAATTACTAATTATTGTCAAACTTCAAACAATATCGTTTATCGCAATAATTTCTAAGACAATTAATTGCCCAGCAAAGTTTGTTATCGTGACAGGCCTAGTCTCCGGCAGCACAGCTTAAATCATTTTAATAAATTACAGCACTTCACAAGCTCCAGTTAATCTGGTACAAAGGATATTTCTTGTTCTGTGGGTCCTCTGTGAGCAGCCGGAGCTGCAGGGTGCATTTGGAAATGAGCTCATCCAGCTGCTCCTCGGCCTCCGTGAGGTCGCACACCTCCCTCTGCAGCTCCTTGTGCCGAGAAACCAGGCTGGCATCAATTCGATTACCACTGCAGGAAACGGGCACACAGAAAAGAAATTGATAAACATGCAGGTATTTCCAAGCTAGCTGCTAACGATACTAGCTTCAGCTTTGAACAGCTGTGTTCTGCCCATGAGCTTTAAATCGGATTCAATTCAGTTTATTTATACAGAGCAAAGTCACAACAGAAGTCGTCTCATGACACTGAACAGAAACATTCACATTCATTTAAAAAGCCAGTTAGTAAAAGTTATCTATTAAAGGAAGTCAGTAGATTTGAGTTGAATCTTCACTTAGTGGCAGTCTTTCATCCTGAGCAAGCACAAAGGCAACAGTGGAAAGGAAAAACTCCCTTTTAACAGGAAGAAACCTCCAGGAGAACCGGGCTCAGGACGAGCAGCCATCTGCTTCGACCAGCTGGGGTTTGAGAGGAACAGGAAGTAGAAACAGTCAAACAGAATGACAGGTCTGAAAAAAAAACAAATAAAGGATTGAAATAATTACAATTACAAACAGGCAGAGTGGAGCAACTAAAGACAGAAGCAGAGTGAGGAAATGTGGTTGATTTGTCCTCCAGTAGTCTAAGCCTATAGCAGCATAGGGATAGCTCAGGAAACCCAAGCCAACCCTTGCTATAGGATTTATCAAAAAGGAAAAACTTAAACCTAGTCTTAAAAGTGTCAGCCTCATGGACAGAAAATGGACGTTGATTCTACAAAACAAGAGCCTGATGAATGAAAGATCTTCCTCCCATTCTGCTTTTGGAAACTCTAGGAACCACAAGTAAACCTTCAGTCTGAGAGTGAAGTGCTCTGTTAGGAAAATTAGGAACAATAAGATCCCAAATATAAGATGGAGCTAGGTTGTTGAGAGCTTTGTAGGTTAGAAGTAATATTTTGAATTCTATTCAGGATTTGACAGGGAGCCGATGGAGAGAAGCTAAAACTGGAGAGATATGATCTCTCCCACTAACTCCAGTTAAGACTCTGGCAGCAGCATTTCAGATCAACTGAAGATTTTTTAAAGAAGTATTTAGACACCCAGATAACAAACAAAAAGAACGGTTTCAATATTTATAATTCTCATTTTTTTAAAACTCACAGCCACTGGATGTTGTTCTTGGACTTCTTGGAGATGAGCTGGATCCCCTCTAGGACGTTTGTGATGTCATAGATGCGTCTCTTCTGGACGTCCAGGACCTGCGAGGCCCAGTTCAGATCCACCACACCATCATCCGACTGAGAGAGCAGGTTCAGAAAGCGCTTGGTGGTCAGGTTCAAGGACGTGTCATACCGGGACCTCTCCGTCTTGTGTTGGGGGACTGAACGAGACGGACCACATGAACAGAACATTCAAGCTTTTACTCAAACATTTATTGAATTGTCTGCTGACTGGAAGTTATTTTAACCCTTCTCCTTTAAACGAGTCAAAATCTGCTTCAGTAAAGAATTTCAAACATTTCTTAAATAAATGCATATTGCCTGCCACACATCAAGCCAGAACTTTAAACTAAAATCATATTATGCTGAAGAGGGACCGGATTAGAGTCATTTTGGTCCAACTTTGTAAATGACATTATGTGCAATCTTAAGTGTAAAATCTTGTGATACATGTCTGTGTTCAGTGTGATAGATACAGTATGACTCTCAGCTACTACCACACCGAGGTTTACTTCCATATCTGTAAAACTGACTCAAGTATAGACAGTTTTGTGTGGAGTAATGTCGATTAGCTGCAGTGGTCATCTTCACTTAGGTTTATTGCTAAAGCTAAAGCTATGAGCTTACCTCAGCAAAAGTATTCAAACAATTTAAATTAAGGCAGCAAATCATTTCCAACCAATATGCGTCAACACAAAAGTCGCACAAGAAACAGGAGTCATAGCGTCACCTCCTGAAGGTCATGAACAATAAGAAATTGAAATAGCTTTTATAGGATGAAGTGATCAATGTAGTTCAAAAATGGTGGAAGAGATTTTTTTTCAAGCACATTATTTATTTTCATTTGTTCAATGTTTGACCCGACTGAGGTGGGATTTGATGGTAGACAAGAACTCCAATCCATTCCTTCACTGGGTGGGAAAGCAAGCAGTTGTTTTTAATGAGCCCAGAGCACCTGAGTGTGTGTAACCAGTGTGATTAGTTCACTTGTTTTAGAGTCAGAACCAGTGGAGCCCAGACACTGAGGACACCCAAACCTAAAACCTCCGCTCAGATTATCCTAACGATGACTGAACCATGTGTCAAACTAAAAGTTAAAAAAATTTACAAGTACAGTAACTTCATAAATATCTATTGCTAATTATGTTTTTTTTATTTTTTTTTAATGGTAAAATAATTTTCTCAAAAACGTTAACTAAAAGTCAAATTATGAAACTTTAAACTTGTATTTATTACAATCGGATCAAAATTGGCATTACAAAAGTCATAATAAAATTATTAGCATGATCTAAAAGCCAAATTATTAAATTAATAATAATAACGATTTTTTATTTTAAGTTTTAAACTGGCATAAATAAAGTCATATTAATAACGCATTAGTATTATGATAATGAAAACAATCTTGGCTGATGACACTACCCCTCTCCCTCACACACAAGTGTGGGTTTGGACTCACTCATTTGCACAGGGCTCAAACATCTATTTTATACATGTACACATAAGTTATATCTCATATATATCTCTATATATATCTCTCTATATATATATATATATATATATATATATATATATATATATATATAT